AAACAAAGCACATTGTAGAATTAGCCTTAGACTCTCACTTTGCAGTGCGTGCAAGCGTGTTATCAGCTGAGATGCTGGGATCATCACTAAAACGTATGTACCGTTGCGTTTGCGTTACGCAATCGATTCGCGTGGTCCACGTGTGGCTAAATAAAGTAGTTCGTGAAAAGGAGGAAGAAATAATTCGGAAACTTTTCTTTGTCTGAAATGCTTCTTGGAGCATAGATATTACTTCGGGATAAGAAACTCGCTTTAAAATTATAATTCTATAAGTATTTTAAATATGGTGATGCACACACAATTATATTGCCGTACAATGCACATTGCATTAATTTATTTGTGTGATCGACCTGTGAATGAATAAAGTTGGTTTGTAAAGAGAAAAATAGGAAGGAATAATTTTTGAGAATCTTTTTTTGTATATGGGTGTCTCTTGGATTCAAGTACATTTTAATATAAGAAACTCGTTCCAAAAATAATTTTATAATGTATGATGGTTGCTTTACGATGCATGTTGTATTTGTATTACGGCTTTATCGATTTTCGTGATCGATAGACAGCGAAAGTTAAAAGAATAAAAGGAAGAAAAAATAATTTAAAGACTCTTGCTTAATTATTTTTTTAAGTGTATTATTTAGAAATAATAAAAATCATTTTTTACACTGAAAAAAAATGTTATATCAACAGCATTATTTTAATTGAAAATAATTTTATTAATTTAATAACTCTATATAAAAATACAAAAAATGCGTCATGTTTTTGGTTTAATAAAATTTTATTTGTTTCATTAATACTGTTGTTAATTCAACAAGATTATTCTCAATTAAAATAGTGCTATTGATACATCTCTTTTTTTCAGTGTAATTGACTCTGTATTTTATAATATTGCTTTATAAAATATGACTATGCAATTTTAATTAATTTTTTTGCGAATTGTGCGGAAATTTTGATTTAACTGGGCTATCGATCATCATCGACAAATCATCGTGAGAAAATAAACGAGGGAGAAAGAGAGATCGTGAAATTGGATGTTAGTCATCGAGATAAAAATGACGTGCATTTTAAACACGCAGTTATTGTGAATAAAAAAACTAATTGTTCAACCTCTGTTGTGATGGTTCTGCGTAGAAAGCGTACGGTCCAAATCTGAGGTGACTACGAATCCGACATAATGGGAACGAATGTGATAACGTCTCTGACCAGGAGAGCTGCATCGCAGCTGAATTATATATGTCGTCATCAGTCTACGACAAGGTATCGATCTCTATGTAGGGTTTACACCGTGAAATCCCGAATAGCTTACTGCCATCCCTTAAAGTCCTGTGGAATGACAGCGTTTAATAATGAGCGCCATTTAATCCGGCCCAGAACTGTTAAGTTCTTGTCCAAACCTCCAGCAAACGTCTGATAATAAGCTCTTTAGCCGTGGATTAATAAACATCTCACGTACTTCGCGAAACTGCAGCCTTGTTACTCACGGAGGAAGTTTGACGGGCATGTATGTCTGTACATGGATTACATCCCGTGCATTTTCTCGCGTTGTAGGAATTCTATGTGTTCCGTAAAATTTCCCGTGATGTTTGTTAAAAATATTCTTTGAATTATTGACTATACCCAAGCAGAACATAAAATCATCGAAATGACGTCGAGGTGATTCCAAAATGTTGATTAGAAATCATTTTTCAATTAGGTATGATTTACTGTAACATTATTTTGACATTATTGAGACTTGTTGTTCTGTTTGGGTATCTTTTTTTAATATTTATTTATTATTTCTGCTACAATTTGCAAGATATTGTTCATAATTAACATGAATCAATTTTTTGAAAGAATCCTACACAAAACTTAAGTGTGGATTTTTAGACTTTGGTGAAATTGACTTAAACTGTAATATGTTTTAGTTTTTGACTAACTGATCAGAAGTTTTCTTAGGTAAAACCATCAAAGAGAGAAATGCAAACTGTAGCATCATTTAAAAGTTGCTATTTTGGGTCTCATCAGTTAAAAAGTATCTTTATCTACTAATATTATCTTTTAGTAACTGCACCTTAATATTGTTATGCATAAAATAATGAGACGAGTTAATTGGTGTAAGAAAAACACATAATTATTTTAAGAAAAAATTTGTTCACAAGTATGTACATTGCAGAATTTTTTGAAAAGCAACTATGTGTTTTCTTTACATCAATCAATTCATCTCATTATTCCGTGCATGAAATAAATGAATTAAAGTACAGTTACACACAAAAAAATTAAATAGTTTAATAAAGATACTTTTTAGTCCGATTCGACTTAACACATTCAAATAATGCTACAATTAAACCTGTCTATTTTTTTATGAGTTTTGCGTAAGTAAACTTAAATTTTTGAGTGAGTAAAAAGACTAAAATACGTACATATTAGTTTAAACCAATTTCACTAAACCAACAAACCCGTGGTTTTGTGTATGGGATCCTTTGCATTAAAAAAAATTCAAATTTGGCGTTGAAGCAAGTCTGACATTTCATCTGAAACAGCCCACCGTTGTTTTCCTCGTACAAGATGGAACGATTCAGATGAACGGAATTTTCAGCACATGTTCCACGTACGATCTGGTAATCGTGGGTGGTGGCATCGTCGGCTGCGCGACCGCCCGCGAGATGATTATGCGGCATCCGAACATGAGAATGGCCATCGTGGAAAAGGAGAATGCCTTAGCTATGCATCAAACGGGTCATAACAGTGGCGTGGTGCACGCTGGCATTTATTACACTCCTGGAAGCATGAAGGTAAATTTAGATAAACATAATGTAACTTCTTGCATGCAGTTATTTTAATAGCTGAACCTGCAATAAGATTGACAGAAGAGATTAAAAACTATTAATCTTTATTGCCACATGATATGAATATAGATTGTCTCCCTTCTATTATCGTTACAAGAAATAATATATTTCAAATTCAATCTCTATGAATAAAAACAATTTTAATTAACTTGTGTAAAACAGAAAATTAATCAAATACTAATTATCCTCGCAATATTCCCAGGAAAATGTTAAAACATTCATGATTTAACATTATAGGCAAAGCTTTGCGTGGAAGGCTTGAAACTGTCGTACGAGTACTTCTGCAAGAACAACATACCTCATAAGAAAGTTGGCAAGCTGATTGTCGCCCAGAATCCGACTCAAGTCAAGAGAATAGACGATCTCTTCGATAGAGGAACGAAAAACAAAGTGCCCGATTTACAAATTGTTGAGAAAGAGTGCATTTCAAAATACGAACCCAAATGCAAGGTATAATAATTGTGTTAAATATAAAATATAAATATAAAAATTGCATAAAAAATTGTATTAAAAAATCATGTAATGTTAATGTCTTATAAATTTACTTCCAAGTTTTAATCACACATATACAAATTCTTTTAAATACATGTAAAAATAAAGCTTTTTTTTTAAATAGAAATTTAACTTATCTTTGTATTTATTTTTTATATTTTAATTTTATTTTTAGTATGTTAAACATGTATGAAGAATTTATAACTGTATAAAAAAATATAGTTTTAGGATACCATAAATAATGTACAAATAAACGAGAATAATCGAATTATCTCGTTTCTAGGGAGAAAAGGCTTTATGGTCACCATGGACCGGTATAGTGGATTGGGCGGTCGTGTGTAAATCTTTTGCCGAAGACTTTCGGAAAATGGGAGGCGAAATCTTTCTCAATTTCGAAGTAACCGGATTTGCGGAGATGACGGAATCGAAAGGGAAGAGTCAATTATCCCCCATATCCGTTCAATCGAAAAACCAAGTAAGATTTTTTTCCGTAGGCCTTATCTTATTGCACTTATTGTCACGTTAATAATCTAATATTCTGGCAATTTTTCTTTTAAAGTGCATACCAACGAAATATGTGCTGACGTGCGCTGGTCTACATTCAGATCGATTAGCGGTGATGACGGGTTGCGATGTAAGTCCGCGAATAGTACCGTTCCGTGGCGAGTATCTTCTGTTAAACGATAACAAACGGCATCTCTGCACGACAAATGTGTATCCGGTGCCTGATCCCAGATTTCCGTTCCTGGGCGTGCACTTTACACCCAGGGTTACCGGTGAAATCTGGTTGGGTCCCAATGCTGTTCTTGCGTTCGCTAGAGAAGGCTATAGGTATTACTATAACAATATTATATTTACTCTACGAGATTGAATAATATTCTTTACAAGTATCTTGCAAGGAATCTAGATATATCCATTATTTAGATTTATACAATTATAATAAAGTATTTAAAAGATCTAGACTTTATCATGACATTAAGATTTCTCTTTCAGTTGGTTTGACATAAACATAAAAGACTGCATAGAGATGGCAAAATTCCCTGGTTTATACAAACTATGCTATCGGTATTTCCTACCAGGCTGCAAGGAAGTAATAAAATCGATTTTCTATCCCTTAGCTGTGAAGGATCTCCAGAAGTTTATTCCTGAAGTTACATACAAAGATGTAAAAAGGTCAGTATTTTGTGCACTATATTCATTTATAACTATATCATAAAATTTTCTTTCATTGCCGTTAACAGAGGACCGGCGGGAGTAAGAGCACAGGCAATGGATAAAGACGGTAAATTAGTCGACGATTTCGTTTTCGACGGAGGCACCGGCGCGATCGGAAGCAGGGTGTTGCACTGCCGAAACGCGCCGTCACCAGCTGCAACTAGTGGTATGGCGATAGCAAAATTTATCGCTGATAAACTTGATCGCGACTTCAAATTTTAATGCAAATCAATACGTGTAATTATCTAATCGCTTAAATGTAAAATGTGGAACAGAATGGATATTTAAAGATATTTAAAAAGGTTCCTAAAGAAAATATAGATATTTTCTATGTGCCATATAATTTTTGTATTTGTAAGCAATTTATTATCTCAAAAAATATATATTTGTACATTATACCGATTTATATACATTAATATATTTGAATTATTATAGTAATAAATATTTAAGAAATAATTTGTAATGAGATAATAGCAAAAAGGATTGTTATATACAAAATTTTATGTATGGAACCTTTTAGCATTAATTAAAGTGCCTTAAAAAATGTGCTGCTACATATAATGATGAATATATGACATTAATATCTGTAATGAGTTCATGCTGTCTAAAAGCTGTAATTCATAGTTTTGTACAAATTAATTAATAAATTGTTTTCTACGGGGATATAATATATAAAGATCTCAGAAAATGTATAATAATATATAATAAAAGTATAAATTGAAGTATATGTAACAGTTATCACATACGCACACATAAAACTGTAATTAAAAAAATTTTTAGATAATTCTAAGTTTGTTTCCTGATATCATAAGACGTGTGGTAGCAAAGTCCAATGCAGCAGTTAGATGGTATCCCATGTTTGAAAGCACAACTCCGTATTCGCTTAAAGCGAACATTGAATACACTGAAATTATATAGCAACTCTCTAAAATTCTAAGATAACAAGAACTACATTGCTATGCATAACAATAAAAATATCAGTTAATATCTCACCTAAGGGTTCGCAATATTTATTATGTCTATAAAAGAAATAGCATGCTATTACTATACATATCACATTCAACATCATTGATCTTCGTTTCCACTTTAAGGAAGCATCGTTCGAGCCTTTTGCAATATTCAGGCAATTTTTCATAATATAATACGCTATGAACATGTATATAAATGACGTTATCAAAAAAGTTATGAAAGACATCTTATGGAACGCTGTAAAGAAAGCAACGCAGCGCATTAATTGTACTATATTATATGCTACACTTAATACTCATATGCATAATTATATAAATTCTTAGTATGCATGCAGTCGTATACCATAATTTTCGTTGGAAGTCCAAAAGCTCAGTGTCACCAGAGAAGTATTTTCAATGGCGTACATAACGAGCGCAATATTACTTAGAAATTCTGCCCACTTATAAACATGCTCCTTGTAGTAACGATAATACAGTGTAAATACTAAGGTTCTTAATAACGCTTGCAATGCTACAGCAGTCTTCCATACATCTTTCTGAGGTCTATAGTGACCTATGGCTGCTGAGATAGATGGTAAAAAATTGTACACCTAGAAATTACAAGAAGAAAAAAAGATTACTTTTTATGAGGTTTATATAACTTATATATCCATTTTTATTAATATAGATTAATTTTAATCTTGTTTAATTTACTCTTTATTTTTTTATAATTCTAGAACTAGAAAAAGTACATTAAACTATTGATAAGATTAATCTATTGATAAAAGCAGATAATATAATCTGCTTATTACTGTTTATTACTATTATATTTTTTTTTCAGCTCTTCTCTTTACATGTAAATTATTTTTAAATGTTAATACTTTAATTTTCTACATTTTTTTTTAAGTTGTGATTCGTTACACAGGCTTAGATTTTAAGATAGCATTGTGAATTTTTCTTTCATTTTACTGTATATTTACCTATATTTCTCATGTTTTGCTCTTCAATCAAAATTATTAATATATAACTTATGAAGTTATAACTTTTCATTCTCATACAGAAGTATCTTTATTTCAAAAGCTATGTTATGTAACTGAATTTTTGCTGATTCATGAATTGAATTACAAGACGCATTCTTTCAGAAGCACACACTTATCATAAACGCTACGTTCAAAGTTACGCAAGATATCCCGGCAATCGAGAGTCATGAAAAAAACAGCTGTTTGAGCTGTTATTGGCTGCATTCCGTAAAGTGCATGATGCACACGATGCATCCTTGTTGTTCACTGAATATTAAACAAGGAAAAAAAGATACATTATGCGCAATATGGAGCTCTTTATGGAATCAGGGGGGTCGCCTCGCGCGAATAATTAATGACTTAACAATCGTACCTGACAATGAGTGGAAGTGGAGTGTTCGAAGTTATAAAGGACCGACCAGGCGACGCAAAAGATGAACGCCAAGAAGGGCAAGAACACGGTGAACCATGCCACTCTGGAGAACGGCACGACGAGACGGGCCTTCGACATGTCGTCCTCCGTCAACGGAATATACTCTGAGCCCAATCTGATCTTGCTCATGTTATTAAACTCTCGTTACAGCAGTATCTATTTACGTCACAACATGCATGACACCGCCAACGATAAGGTTAATACGGCAATTTGGGATCTCAATCACCGCCGGCGCGGGCGATCCTCTCGGCGCGTTTCCTGCGGATCATCCTGGACGTAACGAGTCCCGGCCGCGGGGAACGATCGTACGCGACGATCGACGCGAACTCGCGAGTCCAGTTCGTCGGTAAGCGGATCAACATCGTAACAGGTTAGGTCCACTCGGTCACCGATCGATCAGACCTCGACTACCCTTTCCAGCTCTTCAGACTCTTACTTCTAGAGTGCGTTTTACTTGGTCCTCACGACGCTCATGAACATTATTTGCCCTTTTCAATATTCGACAAACAAGAATGAAATGTTTTCATTCGAAGAATACGTTCCATTCGACGTTCACAGCGTCTTA